ATTTTAATCAAAATTTACAGAGATTTTGGATTTCCATTCATTCATTGTTGTACTTTTCTCCCTGCTCATTCCTTCCCCTAGTTTGCTCTTCTCTTCGAAAAGTAAAAGGAAAATTCTTTTCATTGTTGTACAATTACCATTTTGTTATTGTTGTTTATGTGCCATCAAGTCAGAACAGACTATAGCTGACCCTCAAGCAGGTTTTCAGAGGCTGTAAATCTAATGAAAGGAAATTCCCAATCTTTCTTCCCAGGAGAAGCTCATGGATTTGAACCACTTGCTTTTGGGTTAGCAGTGTAACTCCTTACTCACCCAGCTGTCAAAGCTCCCTATTAAAGTAATACAGAATATGTATACAAGATAGAGAGCCCAGGACCCATGCTATCAATTCTCCTGTCACACCAGGACAAATAAAAACAAATTCATTGACATCAAGATAGAATCAAATCATAGCTGACCTCCTAGTAGGTTTTCCAAAAGGCTATAAATCACGTGGAAGGAGATTAATCATCTTATTCCTTCAAAGCCGCTGGTAAATTTGAACCTCCAGAGGTGAGGTCTTTGGGCTAGCAGGGCAGATGCGTACGGATACACCATCAGTGCTCCCTCAGTCCAGAGCAGACATCATTAGCTAGAGGCCTATACCTCCTCAGAAGCTCTAGTTGTTTAGTAATAAGGAATTGGGCCACCAATGCAAAGCTATATGGTTTGAGTCCACTAGCTGCTCTGTGGGAGAAAGATGGGCAATCTTTCCCATGTGATTAACTGCTTCTGAAAACTCACTGGAGGGCCAGCTATGGAACAGTTCCCACTTGACAGGGCACAGCTATAACATACATCTCCAAAGCCTGAGATGGATCTTAAAGCCAGTTTAACACAGTGCTTCACACTTCACACTGACTTAAATTAGAAAGCTGAGTCTGTATGCAAGTTAAATGTTAGTAAATGGAAGAACTGAAATTCAAATCCAGATCTGTCTGACTCAACCACCCATACATACCCCTCCCAGCAACACACACTGCCTAGTAGTCAGGTCTTTGTAAGATTTTTTTTTTTGTTACATCTTAACTCTGGCTTGACCTTTTCACCTCGATAAACACACTTTCTAGATTTCCTTATTTACTAATGGCGCCTGCCTGCCAAAGGACCACAGAAGCCACACACCAGCATCACTAAGCTTTGCCAAGGACAGGATGTTTACCTGCTGAGATCTTGCAAAGTCCACTTGGAATTTGTCTACTGGGTCTTCCATCAAGCTGCCACACACAGCAGACATCCGGGTTGTGTTGTTTGTGCAGCCCTCCCTGGCTTACCTCATTCCCTCTCCTAAAAGCAGGTGGGCAAAGAGTAGGCAAACCACACACACCTAGCTCCTTCTGCGCGACTCCAATTTCCTCTAATGTTCTGAACCCCAAACAGCACAGATAGCCCTGGTGGCATAAAATGCTTGAGCCCTTGTCTGTGAATCAAAAGGTTGGCAGTTTAACCTAACAGCTACTCAATCTGAGGAAGATGCCACATTCCAATTTCATAAAGAATGCAGCCTCAAAGCCCTAGGGGGCCAATCTACTTTGTTCTATAGGGTCACTTTTGAGTTGGAATCAACTTGATGGCAAACAAGTTTGTTTGTGAAGTCACATCTAAAAATTGAGCATGCAGGAACAATGATTTTGTAAATTAACATCTAACTTGGGAGGGACTGGAGAGCATTATGATGAGTGAAGTAACTCGGTCCCACAAGGACAAATACTGTATAAAACCTTTATTGTAGAGTGATTATGAGGATCCAAGGAGGAGGGGTAGAAGCAGAGGGGGGAGGACTGGGGAGTAATTAGTCATGTTGTTGTTGTTGTTATGTGCTGTCGAGCCACTTGCGACTCATAGCGACCCTATGTACAAGAGCTCTAAACCCTGCTCTGTCCTGTGCCAATCGCACTGTCTCCAATACACCCATCCCAATTACCCCCGTCACTGAATCAATCCACCTCATAGAGGGTCTTCCCCTCTTGCACCGTCCCTCCACCCTACCAAGCATGATGTCCCTCTCCAAGGACCTGTCCCTCCTTACAACATGTCCAAAGTATGTCAGACGAAGCCCCAGAATCCTTGCCTCCAAGGAGCAGCCTGGTTTAAACCTCTCCGGGATGAATCTGTTTGTTTTCTTGGCAGTCCATGGGACATCCAATACTCTTCTCCAGCACCACAGCTTAAAGGCATCAAGTCTCCTTCTATCCTCCCTAGTCATTGTCCAACTCTCTGATGCATAACAAGTCATATGGTTGTGCAATTCAATGGGTGGATGTGGTGAAGGAAATGGGAAGGATCTGTTTTGAAAAACAATGTATTCAAACTTTGTAAAAGTTTAAAATGCATAAAATAAAAAAAATACAAAACACCAAATTGAGCAAATCCAAAAATCTACTACTCGGACAGGTGGAAAAAATGCAAACACAAAATCCTAGAAGCAGGCAGTGTTTCTTGTATCCACCACTTGTCTTAGGGATGGATAATGCATGTGGGTGATGTCTCCAGGATGACTGTATTTCAAGGCCTGTCATATACGACTGTTGGCCTTCCATTTCGTCCCAACCTACAGCCTTTGGTTTTCTGAATAAGCACCCACCTTTACCGTACTATAGACTACTGTGGTTGTCTTGCTTTTCAGAACAGCTCTGCAGGAACTCTAATACCCAGACCTCAGGGAGCTTGGGGAATAGACGCATGGCAGTTGGGCAAAGGATGGGGAAGTGGTGGGATTAAGACAGGCCTTGACTACATTTACATTCAATATTTTCATAGCTTCATCTTACTGCTGTTCACTGTTAAATGGCCAGAAATATAGGTTTCACTGTTAAATGGCCAGAAATACAGGTTTCATTTTACAGTGCACATTTTATAGAAAGTTAGCTATATGCCACTTGACTTTCCAACAGGAGTGTGAATTGCTGATTGAATATAATTTGGGACCGATGACAAATGAATAGATTCTTGGCATTGCTGGTGGTGAAACTGTTCCCTCATGTGTCCCTGGACACTAATTACCACTCAGTTCTTGGGCTAATGCGAAGATAATTTCAATTCACAAGTTCATTAAGCAGCAGAGCTGATTGTGAAGAATTCTGTCCCCTATCTTATGATCCATTTCTTGAGAAAACCACATGTTTGGCTTCTCTGATAAATGATAACAACAACAGATAAAATATTTTAAAGTATGAATAACCTTGAAAAAATATTCTCTGCCAAAACCATATTTTTTAGGAAAAAAGGTCTGATTTATTAGATATAAAAAGTTTAATAGTAATCATTCACCTCATAAAAATTATATATTATTTTATTACATTTAAATATGTTTATATAAAGGTGGCCTTGTGGATAAGAGGGTGCTCTCATTGCCTAATAGTAAGGAGCTGTGCTGCCAACCCAAAGGCACGCAGTTCGAATTCACCAGCTGCTGGGGGAGAAAGGCAATCTCTGTCCATGAGATTTAAAGCTTCTTAAAACTCACTGAATGGTTAACTATGAGTTGGTTCCAACTCAGTGGTACCAAACAACAAGAAGCGGGTTAAAGAATTGTACGGCTTTAAAAAAAAATGTACTGCTAATCCAAGGCAGCCAGTTTGAATCCACCAGCTGCTTAGAGGAGAAAATCAGGCAATCTCCTCTCATGACGTCAACAGTCTCTGAATATCTTCTAGACAGTCAGTGAGGAGTCAATTCTGATTCAGTGGCAATGAGGGAGTGAGTGGAGTGCATGTGTGTATATCTCATGATGCAGCCATTGGGAGTTGTGCTGCTAACCCAGATCCCTTGCCTCTCTGAGGGTTCCCATCCACTGGTCACGCTGCAGGAGAAAGAGAACCAATCT